GTGAGCTGCGCAGCTATCTTGGCTTGCAGATCACCCGGGATAGAGCATGCCGCACCATTACCTTGACTCAGTCACACATGGTGCAGCAGGTCCTTCAGCGATTCAACTTCACGTACTCCTCGCCTCAGGCCACTCCTCTGCCTACTCGCCACTCGCTCTCAGCTCTGCCTTCGGATGAGTCCGTAGAGCCGAGTGGCCCATATCCAGAGCTTGTTGGCTGCCTCATGTACCTGATGACCTGCACTCGACCTGACCTGGCATACCCTCTTAGCATCCTGGCACGCTATGTTGCTCCTGGGAGACACAGACCAGAGCACATGGATGCAGCTAAGAGGGTGTTGCGCTACTTGTGCAGTACGTCGGGCATGGGGCTCGTGCTTGGAGGGCGGAGTTCAGTGGTCCTCACTGGTCACGCAGACGCTTCTTGGGTTGACGACTTGGCTACGCAGCGGTCGTCACAGGGTTACACCTTCAGCCTTGGTTCCGGCTCTGTTTCGTGGCGGTCTACCCGCTCGTCTTCCGTTCTCGGCTCCAGTTGTGAGGCTGAGATCTACGCAGGGGCCATGGCTGCACAGGAGTTACGCTGGCTCACCTACCTGCTGACCGACCTTGGAGAGCCGCCTCGTTCTCCTCCAGTTCTGTACGTCGACAACAAGGCCATGCTGGCCTTGTGTCAGGAGCACAGACTGGAGCACAGAACGAAGCACATTGCTCTCCGTTATTTTCTTGCTCGTGAGCTGCAGCAGCGTGGTCAGCTGCGCCTTGCTTACGTGGCCTCTAGGGCCAACACTGCTGATATCTTTACCAAGGCACTTCAGCCTTGTGATCATCAGCGTTTTTGTACTATGCTAGGTCTTGTGCCTACTTGGCCTCACTTGCATACCTCTTGACTTTGCTTGTACTGTGATCTATATATACCTGCCCTGCTTGCTTACCCTTGCTAGGTTGTGATCACTGTCTTGTTTTGTTCACCCTGCTTTATAACCCTGCATGTGAACTGGCCTTGTGGCCTTTGACTTTGTGCTCGGACTGTGTGGTGACGTTGTGATCCACCCTGAGCTTGCTTTGCTTTGCTTTGTTTGACTGGTCTTGTGACCCCTTGTTCTCCCCCACTTTGCCTATGGGGGTGTGTCAAACTCATATGCTATAGTCTATCTAGGCTGTAGTGGGGTAGACACTATAGGGTACAACACTTCTAGGTTTCCTACTTGTACCCCCCTTGTTCCCTAGTCAATCCATTCCTTGTTCTTATTCTCACAACTAGGTCTACACTACAGGCAGTTATAGTAATGTATACAATTACATTCTGACAGTCACTTGAAATGAGAACGATGCCAAATGATAAGTATAAGAAAGCAAACTTGATAAATCATTTTACTTTTCCCAACATGAGAGCAACAACGCATAAATTTACAAGAGACGTTCGTCTTATTTAGACATTTTACAAGCGCATGCCCTCATAAATTTGAGTCAATTAGAATCGCACCCTACTCAAAAACACTGTTTCATTATAAGCGCACCTGGACTTATATCCGGGGTATGACGGTAACGGGACTCGGTTTTGTGGGGATTGCATTGCAACGCCCGCTTGTAAGAATGAGCACTCAGTCTTTATTTTGTGCAAATTAACCCCAAATCCAAGGCACCCCGCATCTACAGGTTCCTACCAGGGCACTCTTTCCTGCGGATCCGATTGCACCAGTAATTCGTAATAAACACCACCACCTGCACACCGAAGACCCTGGCACGTTGTGAAAAAACAGACGCAGCCAACCCAATCTACCACAAGCTGGCCCAAAAGATCAGGTGCAACGCCACCATAGGTCCCTTCAATCAAAACTAAGATTATATGTTTCGTTTACTGGTCCGCCCTTGAATCAGTTTCACAAAATGGCTGCTGCACGCTCAGACTAAGCTGCGCACACACCGAGGGACGCAAGAGGACGGGAGGCAAGAATAACGGGCTCAATTGGGTTGCGATGCCAGCTCGGCAGACACCAAGTTCCGTAGGCAAAAGATGAAAGAGAAACGGGTAGCGTGATGTGAGAAGGACTGCTGTCGGCACGAAGCAAATGCAGAGGCGCTGGGGAAACAAGATGTCTGGGAAGTGGGGCTACTAACACTTAAGAGTGGTTGGATCAGAGGAAGTAGGGCACGGCGGCGCGCGGCGCCATCATGGTGTTGTTCTCCTCCGTCTCCGTGAAGAACTTCACATCGCGCTCCTGGTGGCGTCAAGGGTATCAAGGGGCATCATGGGGCATGGGGCATCATGGGTCATGGGGCATGCCACACACGCACAGAGGCCGGGGACGACCAAGGGGGGAAGGGAACTTCACATCGCGCTCCTGGTGTCACCTCACCATGTCGTATTGTGCAGGAACAGTGACTACCTGAAGAATGGAGGAACCCAAAAGCTTCACGCGGGGCTATGCGAGCCCATGTGACCATCACCATTACCATTACCCCATGTGACCATCATCATTACCATTACCCCCTGTGACAGGCATGGGAAAGGAAGGAGTTCTCAGCGCCAAGTTACCCGCCACATTCACCATGTGCCCCACCCACCCACCACGTGCCCCACCCACCCACCACGTGCCCCACCCACCCACCACGTGCTCATCGAAGCTGAGGATGGAGGCGACGTGCCCCCTTCACCACGTGCCACCCACTGACACACGCACTGACACACGCACTGACACACGCACTGACACACGCACTGACACACGCACTGTCGCATGCACTGGCGCAGCCACCCACCATGTGCTCATCGAAGCTGAGGATGGAAGCGACGTTGCCACAGCGATAGCAGTAGTTGGGCGCTGACCACACCTGGTGCGATGCCATGCACACCCGCGCACACATGGCATTGCATGGGATACAGACACGCACATGCAGACACACACAAGTAGGCACGCACAAGCAGACACGCACAAGCAGACACCCGCAGGCAGACACACGCAGGCAGACACACGCAGGCAGACACATGCAGTCAGACACATGCAGGCAGACACAGAAACACACACACAGCTCGAGTTATGTAACGCAGGTCTAAAAGAACTATGAGTGAAGATGTTACAAGAGAAAAGTGGTATGGCAAAAGAAGTTATCCCTGAGAGGCAGCATCACAGCCCCAAAGGCTAAATGGCAACGAGGTAGGAGAGTGGAAGATGAGTTACAGTGACAAGGCTTCTGTCGGGAAACATGTACTTGAGCCCCTCCTGCACCAGCTGATGCGCTCTGCACACGAGCTCCAACCCGTTGATCTGATTGAACTGCCGCCGGGCAGCACCGACAGGGAGGGCAGCACAGACAGGGAGGGCAGGCAGGGCAGCGAGGGGAGCACAAAACAGAACAAAGAGCAAGGAGGGAGGCAGAAATGAGATTGAGGCGCCAGAGGGATCAACAACTACGCTGGGCCTCCCTAAACCACTTCAAGTACATCCATGGCTGTACCATGCCGTGACATGACGGTACCTCAGCCTACTGCAAAGCGACTCTCCGCCATGGCTTCCTAGGAACTTACAAGTCAACAATGTCAAGTCAAATGGCTCCAGTTTTAGAATCTGACCACATATTCGGGATCTACACATCAGGAACTAGCTGTCGACCCCAACATTGTGTTCACAAAGAGAACATCGGCTGGTCGTCGCTTCTTCTGAACATCCCGTGTTTTCAGGTTAAAAACTTCCTTCAAGCTTCAGACATTGACAGATTTGCTCACGTTGTTCCAAGGAAGAGCAGATTGGCTCGATCAGTTAATCTTTCAAGCCGGCATCACGAGGATTCAGGTCCTCGACAACGCCAGAAATTTAAAATCATACAAGTTCATCAACGAAATGTCTTCCGTCTATCTGCGTTCGCTGCCATTCAACGACAACCGGAATCAGAGGAAAGGAATATGACTCGTGAAACATCCACATTCTTTTTGGCGACCTCTACTAAAGTGTTCGAAGACAAAGAAGCTCTCCCTTCTGAAAGAGAACGGCTGGCATCAACAGAAATCGACACACGTGATCAAGCGACTTTCATCCTTCAACGTGCTTTTGACGAGAAGATTTCTGAGTGTTCTGCTTTAAGCTCTTCACCGCAGCTCACTTTGCAAGGTAGCTGCAGTTTTGAATCAAGGTCAGACCCCGAAGATACAGAAATTCTTACGCTGGCGGATCGAGAAGAGCTACTTAATATTTGCAGGGAAAATGACGAAGGTCTATTTTCTAACAAGACAAACATTATGGACTCCAAGACAGAGAATACCCAAGAGGCGTTTATGCAACTAGAGGATATTAATCTACGGCTGGCCACTACGGTCATGTTCAAGCCATCAAGGAACCTCCGAAGCATTTCAGGCAGGGCCGGAAAGGGTGCCAGAGCTGCTGCAATCTCCTCTCCCTGCTATTGTCAGAGGACGTTCAGAGGAGCTGTCAAGCAGCGGTTGCGTGTTCGCCCATCCAAGATAGTGGCCAGAACCACTCCTCACCGTTCTCAAAAGAAGCAACAGAGAGCAACCAACTTTCGCCAAAACACTGCTCAACCGTTCCACCCACTCAGGAAGAAGGCCAGCAACATTGCCATACTACTCCCAAACGGGCAAGATGAAATTTTCAGGCGCTTGATTCATAAACCACCTTAGAGGCTTCCGCGAGGGTACGGTATGATTGTACCTAGGCCCTCTAGCCCGGTTACGACCGTGGATGGTGTTTTTTGCATTGTATAATGTAATTTCACCTCCTTCAAAAAAAAAAAAAAAAAAAACCATGCCGTGACATCAATCCATGGCTGTACCATGCCGTGACATGAATCCATGGCTGTACCATGCCGTGACATCAATCCATGGCTGTACCATGCCGTGACATCAATCCATGGCTGTACCATGCCGTGACATCAATCCATGGCTGTACCATGCCGTGACATCAATCCATGGCTGTACCATGCCGTGACATCAATCCATGGCTGTACCATGCCGTGACATCAATCCATGGCTGTACCATGCCGTGACATCAATCCATGAAGTGGGAGTGGCACACGGTAGAGCAGATGCGAGGGAAAGGAGGATTTAAAGGGGGGGGGGGGAGAGAAGGACATGCGCGGGGGAGAGAAGACGCGAGGGGAAGAGGCACCTGGGTGGGGGAGAGGTAGCTGGGTGGGGGAGAGGCACCTGGGTGGGGGAGAGGCACCTGGGTGGGGGAGAGGCACCTGGGTGGGGGAGAGGCACCTGGGTGGGGGAGAGGCACCTGGGTGGGGGAGAGGCACCTGGGTGGGGGAGAGGTACCTCGGTGGTGACTCGGGCTCCAAACAGCCATCCCGCTCCTCGGGGGCTGACGGCCCACGTCTCTATGTCCTCTGGATCGCTCCACATCAGATCTGCCCCGCATGACATGACATGACGTGGCGTGGCGTGGCGTGGTGTGATGTGGCGTGTGCGACGAGGCCGGGAAAGCGAGGTGCGAGGAGAAGCAAGAGTGGGAATGGGATCCCATAGCAGCGAGGAAAGCATGGGGGAGGAGGTGGACAGTTGTAAGAGGTGGATGGTGGTGTTGTGGGAGGGAAGAGGAGAGAAGAGTTGATGGGAAGGGGGGGAGAGGAAGAGGGGGCGGATAAAGTGTGTGAGGGAGCAAAAACTTCAAAAGCACCACCTACGTGAGGCATGGCCAGTGCTGGCAGTCAAAGTTCAAAGCAAGGGCGAAGAAGGAATTTAAAATTTATGGCACAGAGAGTCTGCCACTAGAGAGGGGTGGACATAGAGGTGGGAGCAGGGAGCAGGGAGCAGGGAGCAGGGAGCAATGAAGGTGGCAGGTTACCGCAGAAGGGGCCCTCGTGTGGAATCTCGCACTGTCGCTCCACCACCCGGATCTGAGCACAACACACAGGGGCACACAGACACACAGGCACACAGAGGCACACACAGGCACACACAGGCACGCAGAGGCACAGACAGGCACAGACAGGCACGGACGATTGCGCATGAGATGCAGCAAGGGGGGGACGAGGAGAGGAAAGTGAGGCATGGGACAAGAGAAGCGAGAGGAGTGGCGGAACGACACAGGCAGCAGGAGGGCCGGGAGCAGGGCAGCAGAGGGCAGCAGAGGGCACCTGGTCCAGTGTTCGGACGTCTGGTGAGAGGCCCCCATGCACACACAGCACCTGATGACCGGGTGGAGTGTAGACGGGGGAATGGTGGACGCTCGTGACATGAACAGTGGCAGTACAACATGCAAGACTATAAAAAGAGGCCGAGGAGAAGTGGAATGCAGAGGAGTGGAATGCAGCACATGAGATAGCGCATCCAAGAGATCATGCAAGGGTGCATCGGAGGGTGGGATGCATGCAGGGGAGGGAGCACAAGAGAGTGCATTGGAAGGCACATATGCTCCCCCGTCACCACGAGCGGGTGGGTGGGAGGGTGGATGGCATGGAAGGCAACGCACGCGGCCGTCGATGATGGCGGAGATGCCGAGGAAGTCAAAGACGTCGGTGCAGTAGCGCCACGCGTTGGCGTTGCCGTACTTGCGCTGGCACTCGTCGTAGAACCCGTACACCTGGTGCCGTGTGCCGTGGGGTGGGGGGGGGTGGGGTGGGGTGGGGTGGGGTGGGGTGGGGTGGGGTGGGGTGGGGTGGGGTGAGGTGGGGGGTGGGGTGGGGTGGGGTGGAGTGGGGTGGGGTGAGGTGGGGTGGGGTGAATTGGGGTGGAGTGAGGTGGGGTGGGGTGGGATGGGGTGGGGTGGTGTGGGGTGGGGTGACGGCAGGCAATGAACAGCGCTATGGTACCCGTACACCTGGTGGGTTACCCTGTGAGGCCACGGCAGCACACGCAGGGGCCCATGGTGCTCACATGGTGCTCACATGGTGACGCGTGATGCAAGCCTAGCCGATCACACAAGTCGACTTCGCCCAAACGAGAGGGGTGGGGCCTTTTATCGTCAACAAGGGGTTGGGAGGACGAACAAAAAAAGGGAGGGAACGAGGGAAACGGAACCCACAGCTGTCCCTCTCACTGCACTCATAACTGCCCCACTCACTGCACTCATAACCTCCCATAGCAGCACACCATAGCTGTGGTGAGAAAACCAGCACATGGAGAAATAGAATGACGCTATGAAGTGAGAGGATGACTGGCTTCTATCTTAGCACGTCCAGCAAAGCATGTGAATGGTCTGATATGCATGTCTCAAAGCCCCATGAGATCAGTGGAACGGTTTGTGCGATCGAAACTTTCACACTTTTTCTACTTCTGCCGAATCGTTTTTCTTTGGCCCTTCCTTCCACGATGGATGATGACCCATGGCTTTGAGGCACCTGAAAAAAGGGGGTGGGCTTGCTTAGTTTCCTATTTCTGCCCCCTTTTCAAGCACCCACCGGTGCACATGAGCCATGGGGGTGGCCTTGCTGGTGCGTGAGAAAGCCTGGTCCACATAGCCTGAAGTGCTCATTGTTTCCACTCTTATATCGAGCCTCCTGTTCTCAAACCTTCTTCTCCTTACTACCCTTTTCTCCCTCTGCTTTTCCTGCGATTGATTATCTGATCCCTGCATACTTTCACGCCACTCCTTTCTCCCCTGGTGCCCCCTTTCTCAAAACAGGCTGCACAGCCAAGATGTCTCTCCAGCTCCTCAGAAACCCCATCTCAAAGCCATCTGCCCTTATTCGTTGCACTATTCTTACCTGTATCCATAGTTGTTCTCAAAATTCCTTGGCCTTGAAACAACAAAAATTCCTATGCAGAAGCAAACAACAAAAACTAAGCATCCAATGTCCAGCCACAAAGCAGATCAGCACGGAAGCGAGCCGTCCAACCAACACCAAGGGACTGACAAGCTGTAGAATCCTGCATCATGTATTATGCGTACCCCTTGGGCTGGATGGCCAACCTATGCATTCCCCAGCATCTTTAACAATATCTTGCGTGGGCCACTTACCATCTAGCTGCAATGCATCATGCATGCAGCGCATTTGATGATTAATTGTTGAGGTAAATCGAGGAGTAGGAAGCATGTAAGTCCACCACATGCGAACTTAGTCTACACCTTATCAGCAACACCTGGCTGGTAACCAACATTGGCGGCCTGAGCAGGCTTGTACTGGTCTCCAGCTGTGTATGACCCCATGGCTGGATAGCCTGTTGCTGCTGCAGATGAAGGATATTCCACCTCAATGTCTGTAAAAGGGCACGAAAAGAAGGCAAGGCGAATGGATGTATTTTACATACGAACTTGAAGGAAAGAAGCAGATTGACGGACCAAAGCACAAAGGATTGAAGGGGGCTTGTTGCTTTGACAGAATAAGGCAACAACTGTCGTGATTGTACATTCATACATAACTTTATTGTTTCGGATTGCGAATTAGGGGAAAGGAGAGAGAAATTGGGGTTACGGAAAGTGAGGAATCAAACAAGGGGAAGCAGGAAGGGGGAGAAAGGGTGCTTGAAACTTAGGGGAAAAAAATGGTTTCAAGATGTTCCAAGTTGCTGTTCACTAATGAGCTCACCTTTCGTCTTCTTGCAACACTGAATAATGATGAACACGACTGCAACGGCGCCAATGACCACCAGAATCACCCCCGCCACAATCCCCACGATTGCTCCAGTGGACATGCCAGAGGAGGAAGAAGAGGCTGTGCTGTTGGCATTGGAGGAGCTCTGCACACTGTTGTCGATGATGTTGGTGGTGCTGCTGCTGGTACTAGTTCCCGAGGATGTGGAGTCGGCAGTGTTAGAGGTCCCATTGCCGAGAGAAGGAATGGAGGGAGGGGACAGGGAAGGAGGTGCAATGTAGGGGGGCATGTATGGAGGCTCATGATCGTTGACCGGCGAGGATTCGGACGGGGGGGATGTGGATGGAAGAGCTTCGGAAGGAAGAGCTTCGGAAGGAAGAGCTTCGGATGGAAGAGCTTCGGAAGGAAGAGCTTCAGATGGGAGAGCCTCAGATGGAGCTGCAAAAGATGGCGCTGCGCACAAAAAGCACAAGAAGAGGGGGAAATTCCCATTAAACAACCTTCTCAAGCATGGGGATGCAGTTTGAAACACGAAGTTTCAACATAAGGCTATTCGATCCATGTAGTGTAGCTGTAGCACTTGCAGTTAAATGTATTGTTAAGCATATACTAGCTTTGCCCAGGTTGAAGATAGCTAATCTGGGCTGATCAGTTTTGCATGAAACAGGAAGTTCAATAGGCGTTACGAAGTAGAAGTGGCAGCAAGCCAGCTCACGTGCAGGTGGGGAGATACAGGACTGGCAGAAGGACTGGCAGGCGATGCAGAACTGGCTCCGTGAAAGGAAGACTGCTGTGGGTCATTTCAAAACAATCTCAGATAAAAAATACAGCTCACCTGCAGGCGGGGAGACGCAGGACTGGCAGAAGGAATAGCAGGCGATGCAGAACTGGCTCTCGAGCGACTGCTGCACCACACAGTCAGTGCCGCTGGGACATTGCACTGTGAAGTCATACTCCCTGGTAGGGCATGCAGGGTGTGATTAGATATAAATGGACTTAGATGGAGTGAGATGGGTCAGGTTCAGAGCAGCTGTATATTCAGAATACCCCTAGACACCATTCTTGTGCACCAGGGTTGAGCAGAGCAACATAAATCCTGAGTAAATATATGGTTCCGGCATGCTTGGTCTGGTTGGTCTGATGCTGGCAGCAATGGCAGAGCAATGAGAGCAAAAGTAACTCCAGAGATACACATGGTCAGCACTAGAGAGCAAGCCATGTAGGTGTGCGGTACGTATGACCGGAGCAGGTTGGCAACGTATGCACAAATGTGAGGTCCGTTTCTTACAGAGTGCTTCATGCTTTGGTTAGATGACTCCCTTAGGCGACTCCCTTGTAGCATGAGCGTTAAGATAGTTTCTTACACTTCAGTTTTGAGCCGGCTTGAAAGTCACTTCAAGCATGAGCACTGAGATAGTTTCTTACAGTTCATCGAGGTTGAGTGCGCCAAGGGTGGCCGGCAGGGAGCCCGTGAGATAGTTTCCTTTGATGCCACTGCAATGGTGGGCGGATGGCATGTGGATGTCATTTGGATGGCATGTGGACGGCATGTGGATGGCATGTGGATGGCATGTGGAAGGCACGTGAATGGAATGTGGATGGCACGGCACGTGGATGGCCTGTGAATGCCATGTGAATGGGATGTAATATGTGGTTGAAATGTGGATGGCACATGGGTTGAAAGGGTGGCGGTGTGATTGTGTCAGATTCGTGCCTAGAAAAATGACCGGATATATATGCCAAGCATCGAGTCGTGACAATTGTGAATGTTACAAGGGAGGTAAGTGTTATAATCAGCATGCACACACCCGGTTATGTGCATGCATAATTCATCCATGTGCATGCATACATTCGGCTATATGCACGGAAACACTCAGCCATATGCATGTAAGCACCCAGCCATATGCATGTAAGCACCCAGCCATAGGCATGTAATCACCCAGCCATATGCATGTAAGCACCCAGCCATATGCATGTAATCACCCAGCCATATGCATGTAAGCACCCAGCCATATGCATGTAAGCACCCAGCCATATGCATGTAAGCACCCAGCCATATGCATGTAAGCACCCAGCCATATGCATGTAATCACCCAGCCATATGCATGTAAGCACCCAGCCATATGCATGTAAGCACCCAGCCATATGCATGTAAGCACCCAGCCATATGCATGTAAGCACCCAGCCATATGCATGTAAGCACCCAGCCATATGCATGTAAGCACCCAGCCATATGCATGTAAGCACCCAGCCATATGCATGTAAGCACCCAGCCATATGCATGTAAGCACCCAGCCATATGCATGTAATCACCCAGCCATATGCATGCAAGCACCCAGCCATATGCATGTAATCACCCAGCCATATGCATGTAAGCACCCAGCCATATGCATGTAAGCACCCAGCCATATGCATGTAAGCACCCAGCCATATGCATGTAAGCACCCAGCCATATGCATGTAAGCACCCAGCCATATGCATGTAAGCACCCAGCCATATGCATGTAAGCACCCAGCCATATGCATGTAAGCACCCAGCCATATGCATGTAAGCACCCAGCCATATGCATGTAAGCACCCAGCCATATGCATGTAAGCACCCAGCCATATGCATGTAATCACCCAGCCATATGCATGTAAGCACCCAGCCATATGCATGTAATCACCCAGCCATATGCATGTAAGCACCCAGCCATATGCATGTAAGCACCCAGCCATATGCATGTAAGCACCCAGCCATATGCATGTAAGCACCCAGCCATATGCATGTAAGCACCCAGCCATATGCATGTAAGCACCCAGCCATATGCATGTAAGCACCCAGCCATATGCATGTAAGCACCCAGCCATATGCATGTAATCACCCAGCCATATGCATGTAAGCACCCAGCCATATGCATGTAATCACCCAGCCATATGCATGTAAGCACCCAGCCATATGCATGTAAGCACCCAGCCATATGCATGTAAGCACCCAGCCATATGCATGTAAGCACCCAGCCATATGCATGTAAGCACCCAGCCATATGCATGTAAGCACCCAGCCATATGCATGTAATCACCCAGCCATATGCATGTAAGCACCCAGCCATATGCATGTAAGCACCCAGCCATATGCATGTAAGCACCCAGCCATATGCATGTAAGCACCCAGCCATATGCATGTAATCACCCAGCCATATGCATGTAAGCACCCAGCCATATGCATGTAAGCACCCAGCCATATGCATGTAATCACCCAGCCATATGCATGTAAGCACCCAGCCATATGCATGTAAGCACCCAGCCATATGCATGTAAGCACCCAGCCATATGCATGTAAGCACCCAGCCATATGCATGTAAGCACCCAGCCATATGCATGTAAGCACCCAGCCATATGCATGTAAGCACCCAGCCATATGCATGTAAGCACCCAGCCATATGCATGTAAGCACCCAGCCATATGCATGTAATCACCCAGCCATATGCATGTAAGCACCCAGCCATATGCATGTAAGCACCCAGCCATATGCATGTAATCACCCAGCCATATGCATGTAATCACCCAGCCATATGCATGTAAGCACCCAGCCATATGCATGTAAGCACCCAGCCATATGCATGTAAGCACCCAGCCATATGCATGTAAGCACCCAGCCATATGCATGTAAGCACCCAGCCATATGCATGTAAGCACCCAGCCATATGCATGTAAGCACCCAGCCATATGCATGTAATCACCCAGCCATATGCATGTAAGCACCCAGCCATATGCATGTAAGCACCCAGCCATATGCATGTAAGCACCCAGCCATATGCATGTAAGCACCCAGCCATATGCATGTAAGCACCCAGCCATATGCATGTAATCACCCAGCCATATGCATGTAAGCACCCAGCCATATGCATGTAAGCACCCAGCCATATGCATGTAAGCACCCAGCCATATGCATGTAATCACCCAGCCATATGCATGTAATCACCCAGCCATATGCATGTAAGCACCCAGCCATATGCATGTAAGCACCCAGCCATATGCATGTAAGCACCCAGCCATATGCATGTAAGCACCCAGCCATATGCATGTAAGCACCCAGCCATATGCATGTAAGCACCCAGCCATATGCATGTAAGCACCCAGCCATATGCATGTAAGCACCCAGCCATATGCATGTAATCACCCAGCCATATGCATGTAATCACCCAGCCATATGCATGTAAGCACCCAGCCATATGCATGTAAGCACCCAGCCATATGCATGTAATCACCCAGCCATATGCATGTAATCACCCAGCCATATGCATGTAAGCACCCAGCCATATGCATGTAAGCACCCAGCCATATGCATGTAAGCACCCAGCCATATGCATGTAAGCACCCAGCCATATGCATGTAAGCACCCAGCCATATGCATGTAAGCACCCAGCCATATGCATGTAAGCACCCAGCCATATGCATGTAAGCACCCAGCCATATCCATGTAATCACCCAGCCATATGCATGTAAGCACCCAGCCATATGCATGTAAGCACCCAGCCATATGCATGTAAGCACCCAGCCATATGCATGTAAGCACCCAGCCATATGCATGTAAGCACCCAGCCATATGCATGTAATCACCCAGCCATATGCATGTAAGCACCCAGCCATATGCATGTAAGCACCCAGCCATATGCATGTAATCACCCAGCCATATGCATGTAAGCACCCAGCCATATGCATGTAAGCACCCAGCCATATGCATGTAAGCACCCAGCCATATGCTATGCATGTAAGCACCCAGCCATATGCATGTAATCACCCAGCCATATGCATGTAAGCACCCAGCCATATGCATGTAAGCACCCAGCCATATGCATGTAAGCACCCAGCCATATGCATGTAAGCACCCAGCCATATGCATGTAAGCACCCAGCCATATGCATGTAAGCACCCAGCCATATGCATGTAAGCACCCAGCCATATGCATGTAAGCACCCAGCCATATGCATGTAAGCACCCAGCCATATGCATGTAAGCACCCAGCCATATGCATGTAAGCACCCAGCCATATGCATGTAAGCACCCAGCCATATGCATGTAAGCACCCAGCCATATGCATGTAAGCACCCAGCCATATGCATGTAAGCACCCAGCCATATGCATGTAAGCACCCAGCCATATGCATGTAAGCACCCAGCCATATGCATGTAAGCACCCAGCCATATGCATGTAAGCACCCAGCCATATGCATGTAAGCACCCAGCCATATGCATGTAAGCACCCAGCCATATGCATGTAAGCACCCAGCCATATGCATGTAAGCACCCAGCCATATGCATGTAAGCACCCAGCCATATGCATGTAAGCACCCAGCCATATGCATGTAAGCACCCAGCCATATGCATGTAAGCACCCAGCCATATGCATGTAAGCACCCAGCCATATGCATGTAAGCACCCAGCCATATGCATGTAAGCACCCAGCCATATGCATGTAAGCACCCAGCCATATGCATGTAAGCACCCAGCCATATGCATGTAAGCACCCAGCCATATGCATGTAAGCACCCAGCCATATGCATGTAAGCACCCAGCCATATGCATGTAAGCACCCAGCCATATGCATGTAAGCACCCAGCCATATGCATGTAAGCACCCAGCCATATGCATGTAAGCACCCAGCCATATGCATGTAAGCACCCAGCCATATGCATGTAAGCACCCAGCCATATGCATGTAAGCACCCAGCCATATGCATGTAAGCACCCAGCCATATGCATGTAAGCACCCAGCCATATGCATGTAAACACCCAGCCATATGCATGTAAGCACCCAGCCATATGCATGTAAGCACCCAGCCATATGCATGTAAGCACCCAGCCATATGCATGTAAGCACCCAGCCAATATAATATTTGAAGCGCCTATTAATACTATAAATTTAAAATGCTAATGGCAGTCTTGATTGGCGAGATATCTGGTAGGCGATGAGCTAGAAGTACCCAGCGACTGGAAAGGATTCATAGGAACTTGGGCGTTGTGCTGGGGAGTTGTTGAAGTTTATACAATCCAATTTCCAAGAAGGATGGGGGTGAAGGCATGTGGAAAGGTAGATTCGCGCCTCGTTCACCGTGGTACACGAGATTTCACACCCTCACGCTCTGCGAGCGACAGCGAGGAAAATTGTACGCGTCAGCAAAAGCTGAATCATCAATGACACGGCGTTGGCTTACAGGCGTGGTCAACGCGCTCCAGCCCTTCCTCTTCGGCAAGTCAAAGCTAGTCATCATCGTGTTTCACAATGGTCTTCCTGGCTCCTTGTGGTATCTGACAAGAGGTTACCCTGTCATTCCACTCAAGAATACAAAAGACGAGCGGGGAACAATCGCAGCCTGACATTTCGCAATTCGTGATGCATCGCGAACCGATTTGAACTGTTTTCGCAAAGCTAGTCAACGGTGTCGCACGTTGTCGGCGATTCACTATAGAAATTCGGGATAACGGTAATAAAGTCGAAATGTGTATCAATTTCGCCGTTCACAAATCAATCAGAGAAGCGCTAGGGTTTCGAGTCGCGACGGCAGCAGCAGCAGCAGCAGCAGCAGCAGTGGCAGTGTTAGGGACAGGCATAGTCGAACAAAAGGCTCCTGCGCTGGGCGGACAGCATGGCGTTTGCGGAAAGACGAGTAGCGACTTTAGACTACGCGGTAAGCTAGCGGCGAAGCGTTGGAGAGTGCACGGGACGGCGCAGGGAAACGCAGTTAGGATAGGAAGAAATTGGGTGTGATCAGGGTTCCGCATAGCCATGCTTGTGCTTCCGCTAACATCCTGACTGCTCCGCATCGTCCCCGTTCCGCCGCCAACTCCCCATTTTTTTCCTCCCGCGATCCGCACTTCGCGCGCCTTCCTCTCTGCCTCCCGCTCGTCCTCTCCGTCCTCCCCCTCCTCCTCCTCTTCCGCCTCTCCCCCGCGCGCACGCAAGTCCTTCGCTCAACCTACCGCGCGCTCTCCTTCGTCGACACCTTCTGCGCCTCCCCGCTCGTTCCGCTCGACCGCCGCCAGGACGACCCCGTTATGGGGCCGCTCCTGGGGGGCACCGCCGGGGGGGGGACCGGCGCGAAGGGAACCGGCGCGGGGGAAGCAGACGTGGGGGTGACCGGCGCGGGGGGGACCGGCGCGGGGGGAGCTGGCACGGGGACTGGCGCGGGAGGGGCGCATAACACTGGGGCAGGGGGGGGGGGGGGGGGGGGGGGGGGTGGACCGAATTCAACAGGGCTGTTACCGTCGCATGATGATGCGAACAACAGTAAAAGTCACAGTTACAACAGCTCGGAGCGGCGACTGACATACGTACTCGCAGTGGGTGTGGTCCCCACCGATTTCAATTGGCCCGACCAGTACAGTCCATACGCAGTAATAACCGCGAGATGCTCACCGCAGGGCCGTGCAGTGGAGTGAAGTGGAGTGGAGTGGAGTGGAGTGGAGTGGAGTGGAGTGGAGTGGAGTAGAGTGGAGTGGAGTGGAGTGGAATGGAATGGATTGGATTCGAATGGATTAAATTCGAGTGGAGTGGAGTGGAGTGGAGTGGAGTGGAGTGGAATGGAATGGAATGGATTGGATTCGAATGGATTAAATTCGAGTGGAGTGGAGTGGAGTGGAGTGGAGTGGAGTGGAGTGGAATGGAATGGATTGGATTCGAATGGATTAAATTCGAGTGGAGTGGAGTGGAGTGGAATGGAGTAGCTTGGAGTGGCTTATAGTGGCCTGCAGACTGCAGGGCCTGTGAGGGGAAGTGGGGATTGATTGACAGTGCAAAGGGAATCCCAACTGTGGCTCGGGGAATTGTGACTTGGGAAGCCAGTGCTCGCTTGCAGGGCACGACTCAAAGCTAATAGAAGGCACAAGGGCGGCGGCTGCTGCTCGCCTGCAGCGCACTGCTCAAAACTGCGGATCGGCTCAGAAGGGCGGGTGCTGCTCAAAGGGAGGACCTTGAAGAGGTTGGAGCTGGGGAGGGGCGGAACAGGTTGGCCCCTAGTGCTTCTAGACTCTACTGAAGCAGCAAAACTGCAACCAGGACACCCAGTGGACCACTGCTCACCTGGAGGGCCTCGGAGAGGTTGGAGCTGGGGAAGGGCGAATTGGGGAGGGGCGGATTGGGGAGGGGCGGATTGGGGAGGGTCGAGCACTGTAGCTATGTCGTTGGTGACGTTTGCAGACACGACCACTCGCATCAGCAGGAGTGCATCGTTGGTGGGTGACTGTGGTCGGGAGATGGAAGGGAAGGGGGAGGGAAGGAATAGTGGGGAAGGAGAGAAGGGTGGGGAAGAGATGCGGGAAGATTTGCACCACCATCCGCAGTAGCAAAAGCACGCCATTGGTGGGGGACGGACGGAAGGGGTGTGGAGGAAAGAGTGGGGAAGATGGGGAAGGGAAACGGAGAAAAAACAAAAGCTGAGCGACAAAGGGACACAGGGAAAAAGGAAGCGAATAGGCAGTGTGCACCATCATTTGGTTGGCCATCATACGACCAAACGCACTAGCAGAATAGAATCACTGCCGAGGCACTGTGCACGTCTCATTTGCAAGGTTGGAGCAACCTTATGAACCTAGGTAGCAAAAGTCTTCTCACCCGTATGACTGTGGTGGGTGCTAGGTCCTCCAGTGGCTCCTCTGCCCAATCCGGCCGTGAGCGTGTTGGAAACATGCGTGAAAGAAATGTGTACTCAGGTAGTGAAATTCTCACCCGTATGACAGTGGGCGCTAGGTCACCAGGCAGCTCCCCGGCCCAGTTGGGCCCCGACTAGAGTGAACGTGTTGGGGCCTGGCCCGTTGGCTCGGCTGCCGTTCACATCACACTGAATGCCGAGTAGTAGACCTGGAAGAAGCCGGCGCTGCCAATTCGAGGAATGGAGGAAGGACGGGGTTGGACGAGAGTGAGTGGGTTGGGCCGTTCACACTAGTTGAAATGTTTGCATGTGTACCCGACGTATTGTCTAGATAATAGGTCTAGATACACATGCGAACATTTCAAAAGTATTTCGCATGCTTGTAACCTGCCTGCCTGAATCAATACAAGGACACTCTGTGGGTTGGACCATTCGCACTGAAATCCGAGTAGCTGGAAGGCCTGGAAGAATCCGACGCTGCCAACACAAGGGAGGAGGGGAGAAAGGAATTGGAAGCGACTAGTTTATTAAGCCTGTAAGGATTTTAGTATTCGAGCGAAAGCTCGAATGGAATAACGAAATTGAGTTGTTACTCTGTATTTGCACGCTCATCGCCTGTAGTAACGGCCCTCACCTGTTGCAGCGGCCAACACAACCTATGACTGCGCCGCTTACCTGTAGTAGCAGCCTTGGCCCACGTAGGCGATTCGCAGGTAAAGGAAGGCTCTTGAGACGCCTCAACAGTAGTGCAGCACCAAAAAACCCTGTTAGAGCGATCCTCACCTGTAGTAACGCCCCTGGCCCATGTAGGGGGTCTTCAACACTATGGGCTGGTCTCGCAGGTAGAGGAAGGCTCCCCCATACACCGTGTCCACATTGGGGAGCGCCACGTCTGAAAGAAAGGGGAAGTGGGGGGAGCAAGGAGAGACCGAGAAGGGTGAATGTGTTTCAGCCTCCCCCATACACCGTGTCCACATTGGGGAGAGCCACGGATGGGTGGTAAGGGGGGGAAAGGAGAGGGGGGCGAGACGGGGAAACGTGCTTCTGCCTCCTCCATACACGGTGTCCACATTGGGGCGAGCCACGTCTTGGGGGATTTGATGTGGGGAAAGATGATGAGAGTGGTGTCAAAAGAAGCGAGGAAGGCTTTAAGGTGGATGGCGGGGAGGGAACGAGTTGGCGAAGGAGAAGAACAATCATCAGTGTGAGTCAGAAGAATGCATTAGAAGGATGCACCTAATACCAAGCATGACTTACTGGTGGTGCCGACGACAGCGGTGTTGGCATCAAGAGCAATACTCAACGTGCATGAGAAGGAGAGTGCAACTCACTGGTGGTGCCGACAACGGCGGTGGTGTTGGCGTAGGAGAAGGCGTTGAGGGCAGCGCGGGTGGCTTGCTGGCGGAAGAAGGTGACCAGAGGAGACCCCCACACGAACGCCTCCTGCCCCACCGTGAAGTACCGCACTGCACCCCCCTCCGTGCCATTGCCAGCAACCCCAGTGAAGTTACCGCCTCCGGTCAAGTTGCCAGCAGCAGTGGCGTTACCAGCAGAACTGCTGTTCCCCCCGGGCGTTATGCTGCTGCTGCTGATGGGAGCTGTGGCGTTACCAGCTCCAGTAAGGCTACCGGGGGGACTGACACTGTCTCCAGCAGTGGCGCTGCTGCCACCACCACCACTAGTACCATTACCGGCAGAAGGATCAGGGATGCTAGCAGCACCTGCGCTCAAATCGTCTGCCACACCCAGCCCAGCCGGCTGCTCCTGCAGCCCCCGTCTCCCAGATCTCACCCCTTCCAGTACCCCATGTGCGTGACTCGCGCGAGGTGTGAGGGTTTAAGCTGTTCCTTTTTCTGAGAATGACCAGTGACCTGTGACTCACGCGTAGTACTACTGCTTGGTTGGTCCACGAGCTCACTTCAAATAAGACTCACGGAGCTACTCCTTAGTTTTTTTAGTCGTTTCATGACTCAAAAGGCGTCTCCTACACATGGTCCGTGAACCGTGAGCAGCAGCACCGCGCAAGGTGGGCTGTCGCAGTGCGATGGCGGAATGACAACGAATGTTGTTCCGCCGGCGGTGGGTCGCAGTGACACTGATGAGAGCGACACGTCGTGGCGTGGGTAGTAACGTGCACGCTGGTTGCGCGCTGCTGATCGCTGATCGCTGTGAGACGGCGGAGCGACAGGGAGGCATGGGACCGCCGGTGAGAATCCCCAAAAAGCTCTCGGATGCTGATCGCCGTGAGATAGTGGAGAATTGGCGACACGTCGAAAGCTGACGATATCCGTTGCAGTGAGTCTGACGTTGACGCATTCCGACGCGTCCTGTGACAACGGTCGCCATAACTGCAATCACCATCGCAAGAATCCAATACAATCACCGAGCACGTGACCGTTCCTGTTCGCCGCCCTAGATTGCTTTCAGATACTGTACCGAGGCCACCTCCGTGTCTTCGATTGTGCCGCTGCGGTTTGAAGTGTGACGGCGAACATCTCAAGGTATTTGACAGACTAGACTGCAGCGGACAAACCTAGGCAAGCACTGTCTGACTAGTGTGCTGGTGACGAGAAAAGCTGGGGTGCGCTACTTGAGTGAGCCACTTACAAGTGAGATTCTGAAGTCAGCCTCAATGCTGACGCATGATTTGAAGTTAGCACGTCACCCTCATCCAGTTTACGCAATTCACGGGCCCGAAATTTGGGCCGGACATCTCGCCGCATTTGAACTCGGTCATCCAGTTTCCCTGCGGTTCGGTTCCCCCTTGATGATCGCCGCCACATGGAAGTTGCCTTTCACGTGGGGGGGTTGGGTGGGGGGCAGTCATTCTGGTCGCAGTGGTCGCATTTGGGTCACGAACACCGCGATGATACAGCGTGCAAACATTTCGGTGAAATCATGAGGCACATGGGCGGAAACGACACATGGGATGCGGCGACGGCAAGTCTCTCATTTTTAGGAACACCTAACCGATAGGGCAAAAAGCGTTTCTTTCTCGCACATTATGGGTATAATGCTACACTGCTTCTCAAACCAAAGTTAGCTTCTTCCTGTCATCTCTCGCGGAAGATTATATCCAGCTGCTGCAGAAATATGAGTTCGGACCCAAACCTGAATCAGACGCAGGGGCATTACCTTTCCAACAAGAGTCACCTGGTCATTTCTTCCAAACCAGCCACATCCGCACCTCCTGGATTATTCCAACAACCCCCCAGCCTTCAAGCTGTAACCAGGTTAGTCCACCCAACCACCAACCGTACCTGCGCTCTGCGATTTTTTCGCCCCATAGTCCCACCCTGCCTCGACCATCGTCCTTCCCTCGGTACCACAGGCACGTACAAAGGCTCCATATCCAGATTCCATTAGCAGTCTATCCACAAAGATTAGCCTTCTATTACTCTCGATCTGGTTTATCAAGCTACCAGCTTATCTACTTCATTCTGCGGAAGTTAGATCTGCAACAATGGCTTACACCGTCACCTCGTCAGTCCACTCAACACTCTTCGGACAGTCCATCGCCTGTGTGCAAAACGATTCGTCCCATGACATCGCCAGATTTATAATGCCGGTTCCCTCGCAGCCGCCTATCAACCTATCGCTTTCCGTCCAGTCTCCTCAGAGACTGAGCGTCCCAGACGCATTCCAAGAAAAGCCTCGGGTGTCCACTCCTGCCAAGGCTTCGGCTGCATCACTTCGTGCTGCTGACGGCTCAATCCCTGTTGGCGTACACACTGCTACAAGGGGAACCTTCAGTGCGGAGAAAGCTCGTCTACTAAGGCAGAAGCTACGCGAGAGCGAGGCATTCCACGACACCATGTACCACTCCGGCCTGGCCTCGCGGCTCGCTTGAGGTCCGCAGATCAAGGATATTTGCAACTCCAGTCTCCGCCCCGTCAACATTTTTGGCTCCTATACATAGATGCCGGGTCGTAAACGTGCGTAAGACCGCACGTAGCCCCCAAATGATTTTTTTGTACATAATGTTTAACGATGACTTTGTTCAATGAAAGTGGAATCCCAGTGACATTTGTACTGACGTATGTGTCGGCTAGTAGATAATCAAAGCCACGTTGCTATTAGATCGGAAGCCTTGACGGCTCAAACCCTGATTAGCGCAATGGTGGTCCTTCGAAATGGCTGAACATATTGACGTCACGACCCTCACGCAGGAGCATTTGAATGATCTGCTGCGACAAATCCGCGAGAGCGCCGAGGAAATCGCGACGCTGACGGCAGAACGCTCGTCCCTGCAAAACGACCTCACAAGGGCACAATCCCAAGCACCTGGCACTCCGATTCAGCCCGCACCACAGACATCACAGCACGGAAGTGTGGGGCAACCCGCGAGCGCCGCAAGTGATGGCGTCGTCCGCCATGACGGAGACGACGACCACGGCACGACACACCCCGACGCGACGAATGCGGCCATGACTCAGCCTCGAGTCACGATTTCGGTGCCGGCCGGCGAATCAACTCTTCCGTCGCCGATGCCGCTAAAACCGCAGCGTCCGCCATGCTTTCACCCAAGTCAGCGGGGTGGTCCTACCGTTCAGGCGTGGCTCTTCACGTTGAATGTCTTCTTCGACGCGAACTACGTCTCGGAGGATACGGCGAAGATTCGCTACGCCGTGTCGTTGCTGCGAGGACCCGCCATGGACTGGTGGCGCGTCATCGTCACGAAGCCGGTGGACTACGCGACTCTACCGACACGGGAAGGACAAACCGGACCCTGGGCGCCGTCGTATTTCGTGGAGGTGCCCCAGTATCGCACGTGGGACGCGTGGTGCGCAGGTCTGCGCGCTCGTTTCGAGCCAATCGCGGCTTCGATCGCGGCGCGACAGAAGCTCCGCACTTGGCGCCAACTCGGTTCCGTCCAAGATTATACGAGTGGATTTCTGGCGCTATGCGAGCAGGTGGGATATATGCACGAGAGCGAGCGCATCGACCGCTACATCGGCGGCCTGAAGCAGGACATCGCTCAGGAAATCCAGCTTCGCGGCGTCACCGACTTTCAAGAAATTCTCGCTATGGCGGAGAAACTTGATTTCTTCCGCCTACCGAGACCGGGGTCCTACGGAAGCAGCCATTGGGGACATCGGCCTCGTGGGACGAACGAGGGCGCTACGATACGTGCCGTCGCCGCAAATGCCGCTGCCACACCGTTCAAAGGGCGCTGCTTTGCGTGCAATCGGCCGGGACATCGCAAGAGCGAATGCCCGGAAAACGCTAAGGGAAAGGGGGAAGCTGAGCAGCAGAAATAGACCAAGCAGCAGGGAAACGCTGGGAGTCAGTAGCAGATGGGCCCTCTACTGACAGGTCACGCCGCTCGCCCGACCCAACCGACCCTCACCGAGTGATTGTGCCGGTTCACGCAATCGACCACACCCAGCCGAATAAGGAGGGGACTACGGTAGACAACCCCATACTGCTTAGTGGGAAAATCGGGACGGACTTCGTTAAAATCTTCGTAGACGGGTGAGCCAGCCACAGCCTCATCAACACTGCTACAGCACGAAAACTGCGACTGCCACTGGACAGATGTTTACCTGAGATCGACGCACGACTGGTAGACGGCACGCCGCTGGCAATACGGGAACGCGTAGACCGAGTTCGGATTCGATGTGGGGGTAACTTCACGTTTAGCCAGGAAATGCTCGCAACGACCCTCGACGGAACCGATATTTTACTCGGGCGTGATTGGCTGCGACGACACAATCCGCGAATCGAGTGGACGACGGGTGACTGCACCGTGCGAGTGAACGGTAACAACATCGCCCTACCTCGCTGGGGCTCGCCTGAGTCTTCGTCGGTGCGTGTCAACGCGATCACGATGAAACGCGCCGTAGCGGCAGGAGCTGATGTGTACGCGGTCGACATTCGGGAAGCCGAGGCAGCAGACAAGGGAGGGGATTTGCAGAAACTGCTGACCGACGTACCGAGTGACCTGGCAGCACTGTTGAAACAGTACAGCGACATTTTCCCGGACGACTTACCGACGGGACTGCCACCTCAGCGACCGCACGATCACAGAATAGAGTTGGAACCGGGGGCACAGCCAACAGTACAGCGACAGTTCCGACTGACCCAGCCCGAACTGGACGAACTAAGGAAGCAACTCGATTACCTGCTCGAGAAGGAATTCATTCGCCCTACTTCGTCGCCTTTCGCAGCACCGATACTATTCACACCGAAAAAAGACGGGGGATTTCGCATGTGCATAGACTACAGAGCACTGAACAGGGTTACCATTAAATCCCGTTACCCCATCCCGCGAGCCGACGAACTGATCGACCAACTGCACACAGCCCGAGTTTTCTCGAAAATCGACCTCCGAGGAGGTTACCACCAGATTCGCGTCAACCCGCCCGACTGCCCTAAGACCGCATTCCGCACCCGCTACGGATCCTTCGAATACACCGTCATGCCTTTCGGACTGACCAACGCCCCCGCCACTTTCCAAATGACCATGAACGAAGCTTTCCGCCCGCTCTTAGATAAGTGCGTCATAGTATACCTGGACGACATACTGATTTACAGCCCTGACAGAGCACAGCACTTACAGGACATCGAAGCAGTTTTTAAAATACTGAGTGAAAACCGCCTACTGACAAAAGCGTCTAAGTGTGCATTTTTACAGGACCGCCTGGAATTTTTAGGACACGTTATTTCAGCTGCAGGAGTGGAAATAGACCCGAAGAAGATTGCGACGATTCAAGCATGGCACACGCCGACCAACTTGACCGAGTTGCAGAGTTTTCTGGGGTTCGTCAACTACGTGCGCCGGTTCGTCCCCGACATGGCGAAGCTGACTGCCCCGTTGACCGACCTGCTGAGGAAGGGGGTTGAGTACACGTGGGGGGAGAAAGAGCAAGCTGCCTTCTCGGCCCTCAAAAACATTTTGTGCTCACCGCCCGTGCTCCACATCGCCGATCCACACCGTCCGTTCGAGCTCGTCACTGACGCAAGTGACATCGCTGTGGGAGCAGTACTGTTGCAGGATTTCGGGAACGGCCTCCAGCCAATCGCGTACGAGTCCCGCAAACTGCACCCGCCCGAACGCAACTACCCGATACACGACCGCGAAATGTTGGCGATCGTGCACGCGTTCAAGGTTTGGCGGTGTTACCTGACTGGCGCCGACGTGACAGTACGGACAGACCACCGATCACTACAGTACCTACACGCCCAACCGAATCTCAATCCGCGACAGATTCGCTGGTTGGACTACCTCGAGTCCAACTTCCACTACACGGTTACGTACAAGAAAGGCGCATCCAACATCGCCGACGCACTCACCCGCCCTACCGCCCAACTCCACGCCATTCTACTCGCCCAGACCAGCCCGCTTTTAACAGGCATATTCACCCACGGATACCGCACCGACCCATTTTTCACGACTGGAAACTCACAGCAACTGGCAGAAGCTAAAGGAGTTTATTACGTAAAAACAGGCACCAACCGCATCTGGGTACCCGCGTACCCACTACTGAGGGAGCTGCTACTGCAGGAGGCACACGACGAAATTACCTCGGGACATTTTGGGGTAGAAAAAACGCGACAGCAACTGCAGCGGTATTATTACTGGCCGGAGCTGTTGACCGACGTACAGCAGCACGTGGGCTCGTGCCCCACGTGTCAGGTGATGAAGAGCTCGAGGAAGCGGAAGGCGGGTCAATTGCAGCCGATACCACCGCCCGAGCGCGCCTGGCAGCGGGTTACCATGGACTTCGTCACAGGGTTACCTTCGAACCCTGGGGGTAACGACGCGGTGATGGTCGTCGTTGACAGGCTGACGAAGATGGCACACTGCGCTGCGTGCAAAAAGTCGATCTCAGCCGAGGAGACCGCTCGTCTGTTCATCGCAGCCGTTGTTCGCCTGCACGGGATACCAGCAGCAATTATCAGCGACAGGGACACGAAGTTCACCAGCAACTTCTGTAAGAACCTCTGGGAGCAGTTCGGGACCAGGCTACAGTTCAGTTCGTCGTACCACCCCGAGACCGACGGCCAAACGGAGCGGACGAATCAGACGATGGAGCAGTTGATTCGTACCACGTGCGACGACCCCACGACTTGGGAGCAGCAGCTGCCGCTGATCGAGTTCGCGTACAACAATGCCACGTCAGCGACGACGCAGCAGTCCCCCTTTTACCCGAACTACGGGCAAAACCCTACAGTGCCCATGACGCCGAGTCCGGACAACCCAATGTCAGACTTATATGCTATAGTCTGTGTAGGCTGTAGTGGGGTAGACTATATGGGGTACAACACTTTTAGGTTTTTTCCTACTTGTACCCACCTGTTTCCTAGTGCATCCATTCCTTGTTCTTTCACATGGTATAGAGCAGGTTCCCTAGTGGGAACGTTTCCTAGGGCCCACCGAAAATTCGAAAGATTTTTTTCCTGCCCGGAGCGCACTTCACCCTTGCCCGAGACGCGCCCCGCGTCCCCTGCCCTTAGTGGCCCCTTAGCCGCTCCCTCGCGGCCCCTCTCACGGCCCCTCGCGGCCCCTTAGCCGCTCCCTCGCGGCCCCACTCACGGCCCCTCGCGGCCCCTTAGCCGCTCCCTCGCGGCCCCTCTCACGGCCCCTCGCGGCCCCTCTCACGGCCCCTCGCGGCCCCTTAGCCGCTCCCTCGCGGCCCCTCTCACGGCCCCTCTCACGGCCCCTCGCGGCCCCTCTCACGGCCCCTCGCGGCCCCCCCACCCCCCCCCTCCGCGGCTGTTCGCGGCCCCTCGCGGCCCCTCTCGCGGCCCCTCCGCGGCCGTTCGCAGCCCCTCGCGGCCCCTCTCGCGGCCCCTCGTGGCTCGTCGCGCGGCCCCTCCGCGGCCGTTCGCGGCCCCTCGCGGCCACTCTCCTGGCCCCTCGCGGCCCTGTCGCGGCCCCTCGCGGCCCCTCGTGGCTCGTCGCGGCTCGTCGCGGCCCCTCCGCGGCCCCTCTCCAGGCCCCTCGTGGCCCCGTCGCGGCTCCCTCGCGGCCCCGTTGCGGCTCCCGCGTCGCCCCTGCCCGCCGCGGCGCCCTGCCCTAACCCGCGCCCTGGAGCAGCCGCCACTTCAGCCCTGCAGCGGCCGCCCCCTGCAGCAGCCGCGCCGCCCCCTGACCGCCGCGGCGCCCTGCCCTAACCCGCGCCCTGCAGCAGCCGCCCCCTGGAGCAGCCGCCACTGCAGCAGCCGCCCCTGGAGCAGCCGCCACTACAGCAGCCGCCCCTGAAGCAGCCGCCACTGCAGCAGCCGCCCCTGGAGCAGCCGCCACTGCAGCAGCCGCACCTGGAGCAGCCGCCCCTGCAGCAGCCGCCCCTGGAGCAGCCGCCACTGCAGCAGCCGCCCCTGGAGCAGCCGCCACTGCAGCAGCCGCCCCTGGAGCAGCCGCCACTGCAGCAGCCGCCCCTGGAGCAGCCGCCACTGCAGCAGCCGCCCCTGGAGCAGTTGCCACTGCAGCAGCCGCCCCTGGAGCAGCCGCCACTGCAGCAGCCGCCCCTGGAGCAGCCGCCACTGCAGCAGCCGCCCCTGGAACAGCCGCCCCTGCAGCAGCCGCCCCTGCAGCAGCCACCACTGCAGCAGCCGCCCCTGGAGCAGCCGCCACTGCAGCAGCCGCCCCTGGAGCAGCCGCCCCTGCAGGAGCCGCCCCTGGAGCAGCCGCCCCTGCAGCAGCCGCGGAGCCCTCGCCCTGCAGTGGTAGCGGCCTCGCCGTTGCCGCCGTCGTACGTCTGCCCTTCTCGCCACTGGTGAGCACTGCCCTGCCCGTACTGCTGTTACTGCTGCTCTTGCTGCTACTGCTCTTTCTACTGCTACTGCTGCTTCTGGCGTGGCCAGATGCAGCTCCAGCGCCGTCCGCGTGAGTCCCTCGCCCCCCAACAGCTTCGTGAGTGGTACGCTAGTTGGGGTTGTAGGGGTGGCCGCGCTACGACTACTGCTACTGCTTCTACTGCTGCTACTGTGGCTACCACTGCTCCTCCTGCTCCTGGCGGTGGCCAGATGCAGCTCCAGCGACTTCCGCGTGAGTCCCTCACGCCCCAGCAGCTTCGTGAGTGGTACGCTACTTGGGGTTGTCGGGGTGGCCGTAGTGGGAGTCGTTCTGGCGTGAGGAGTTCGGGAGCTACTTGTAGTGGCCAGGTGCAGCTGCAGCGTAGTCCGCCCGCGGTCCTTTCGCCCCAACAGCTTCGTGAGTGGTACGCTCAGCGTGGAGGGTCACGGAGTTCTGCCCGCTGTCCGTACGTCATTCGCACTGGTGCTCGGACTGGTCAGCCCTGCGGGACGCTTGGTCACGCCGAGTCCCGCTGCTTCGCCCGTCTGAGCGACGTCTGGCGTACGGAGTTTGGCGACGCCGCTGAGCTCCCCGACTGGGTGGAGCTGCTTAGGCAGAGGGTAGATATCCATGCTCTTGACTATGATGCTATCCTCACTGCCATGTATGCATTGCCTACTAGTGATGTGGGTGACTGTTACCTGTGTGTTCCGCCTGACCCGGGCATTGAGGCTGCTGCTCTAGGTGCTGGTGAGGCTGCTGCTCTAGATGCTAGTGCATCTGCTCCTCCAGGTGCTGGTGAGTCTGCTGCCCCAGGTGCTGGTGAGTCTGCTGCCCCAGGTGCTGGTGAGTCTGCTCTCTCAGGTACCACGTCGTCTCAGGTGTTACGCACCTTCACCCTTGACTCGGGTGCTTCCCGCTCCTTCTTTCGAGACCGCACCACACTCACGCCACTTAGTCGGCCGGTTGCAGTCTCCCTGGCAGACCCCTCTGGGGGTCCCATCCTTGCCCACTTCTCCACTGTCTTACCGTGTCCGGCGGCCCCTTCTGGCTCTCTGTCGGGTCTTTACCTCCCCTCGTTCTCTACGAACTTGGTGAGTGGTGCTGACCTACAGGACGCAGGGGTTGACCAGTTCACCCCTGCGCGTCAGCGAGTGACCCACTGTACGTGTGCTAGGACGGGCCGACACTTGGCCACGTTTACCCGTCAGCCGGGCTCGAGCCTGTACACACTGACTGCTGAGTCTCCTCAGGTAGCTGCGTCGAGTCAGGTCTTTGCTGCAGCGTCCAGGTCTGGTCCTGAGTCTGCCCCCTGCTCGTGTCGTCTCCTGTCTCACCAGACTCTCCTCTGGCACCACCGCCTTGGTCACCCCTCCCTGCCTCGTCTTCGAGGCATGGCCTCTCGTTTCCTTGTCTCGGGTCTCCCCCGGTCCCTCCCTTCTCTTCCTCCGGGGCCTGGCCCCACCTGCGTTCCCTGCGTCGAGGGGCGTCAGCGTGCCGCTCCTCACTCCTCCGAGTTTCCTCCGACAGAGGCTCTGCTGCAGACGCTTCACATGGACGTGTGGGGTCCAGCCCGCATCCGTGGACAGGGTCACGAGCGTTACTTCCTGCTGGTGGTTGACGACTACTCACGTTTCACCGCAGTCTTCCCCTTGCACAGCAAGGGTGATGTCACTGAGGTGTTGATCGACTGGATCCGCGCAGCTCGTCTCCAGCTCAGAGAGAGTTTCGGCTCGGACTTTCCTGTCTTGCGTCTACACTCCGACAGAGGCGGTGAGTTTTCCTCTGACCTTCTGCAAGCCTTCTGTCGTGCACAGGGCATCCGCCAGACGTTCACGCTTCCGGCCTCTCCACAGCAAAATGGGATTGCTGAGCGCCGCATTGGCATGGTCATGGACGTCGCTCGTACGTCCATGATCCATGCGGCTGCTCCCCATTTTCTGTGGCCGTTCGCGGTTCAGTACGCGGCGCATCAGATCAACCTTCAGCCCCGAGTCTCCTTGCCGGAGACCTCCCCTACTCTGAGGTGGACGGGGAAGGTTGGCGATGCGTCTGCGTTTCGTGTCTGGGGATCTCGGGCTTTTGTCCGCGACTTGTCTGCGGACAAGCTGTCCCCCCGTGCTGTTCCCTGCGTCTTCCTTGGCTTCCCCCTTGACGCGCCTGGTTGGCAGTTTTACCACCCCACCTCGCGCCGTGTTCTGTCGTCCCAGGACGTCACCTTTGACGAGTCGGTGCCCTTCTACCGGCTCTTCCCCTACCGCACTGCCCCGCTCCCCCCTCCGCCGCTCTTCCTCACGCCAGGTGCTGCCTTGGTAGACCCCTTGCCTCCCCAGGTCCCTGCTCCCTCAGGTGTTTCCCAGGTAGACCCGGTCGAGCCTGTCGAGGTAGCTGTCGACTCTGGTCCTGCGCGAGGTACTGAGCGTGCTGAGCCTGGGGGTGCGGAGACTGGGGGTGCTGAGCCTGAGGGTGCAGAGACTGGGGGTGCTGAGCCTGGGGGTGCAGAGACAGGAGGTCCTGAGCCTGGGGGTGCTGTCCCTGGGGGTGCGGGTTCTGGAGGTCTTGAGCCTGGGGGTGCTGTGCCTAGGGGAGCTCTCTCTTCCCAGCAGCTACGTGACTGGTACTCTCGGTACTGTCGCGACCTCCGGGGTGCTGCTGGAGCTGCTGGCGTTGGTCCTGCTGGAGGTGCTGCTGGTGCTGCTGGAGGTACTGGAGCTGCTGGTGCTGCTGTGGGTACAGGAGCTGCTGGGCCTGGAGGTGCTCCTGGCACTGGAGCTGCTGGCGGTGCTGGAGCTGGCGGTCCTGCTGGTGTTGGCACTGGAGGTGCTGCTGGCGCTGGTGCTTCTGAGGGTGCTGGAGTTGGCGCTACTGGAGGTGGAGGTGCTGCTGGTGTTGGAGCTGGCGGTGCTGCTGGCGCTGGTGCTTCTGAGGGTGCTGGAGTAGGCGCTGCTGGAGCCGGAGGTGCTGCTGGTGTTGGAGCTGGCGGTGCTGCTGGCGCTGGTGCTTCTGAGGGTGCTGGAGTAGGCGCTGCTGGAGCCGGAGGTGCTGCTGGTGTTGGAGATGGCGGTGCTGCTGGCGCTGGTGCTTCTGAGGGTGCTGGAGTAGGCGCTGCTGGAGCCGGAGGTGCTGCTGGTGTTGGAGCTGGCGGTGCTGCTGGCGCTGGTGCTTCTGAGGGTGCTGGAGTTGGCGCTGCTGGAGCTGGAGGTGCTGCGGGCGCTGGTGCTGCCGCTGGGGGTCCTGGTGCTGTCCCTGCTATTTCTGGAGTCGCTGCGCGGCCGCGGCCGTACTTCGTTCCGCTCCTTGAGCAGGTTCTTGGTCTCCCGCCTTCTACTGGTCCTCCTCCTCCCTTAGAGTGTCCACAGCCTGACCAGTTGTAGTCACAGTTACAGCCCGCCTCCCCACTGCCTGCTCCTTCTCCCTACTCTGGTCCTACTGGAGGTCTTGCTGAGCGTCGTGTGCCTGCGTCTCGTCCTGCGTCGCCTGTTCGTACTGCTCGCACTAGTCGTCGTGTTCCGCGTCAGCGTCCTCCTGCGGTCCCGGGCACGCACCAGATGGCACTGCGTCCTTCCACTGCTCCGCAGCGTGTCCCTTTGCCGTCTCCTCCTGAGTCCTCTCTTCCTGCTCTTGCTGACCCGGAGTCGGACTCTCTTCGTGCTGCCAGTCCTACTGTCACGCGTCTCCTGGCTACTGTTGTCACTGACCCTTCCTTTGAGTCCACTGCTGCGTCTGCCTTAGTTGCTGAGTTGGTCGACTTCGCTGCTCACTGTCGTCTAGACTACGCTGCTAGTCTTGTTGCTGAGTCTGAGTCTGTCTGTCCTCCGTCCGTCGGGGGTGAGTGTGCTCTTAGCACGGACGTCCTTGAGGACAGGCAGGAGGAGTTCCAGTGTTTTGCTGCTGCTTTGCCTCATCTCGTGTCCATGCTGATTGCCCCTGAGGGAGACCCAGATGCACCAGACATCCCGACTCCTCGATCGTACGCTGAGGCGATCGAGGGTCCCTACTCCTCACAGTGGCAGTCAGCCATGGACGCAGAGATGGCTTCTTGGAAGTCCACAGGCACCTACGTCGACGAGGTTCCCCCACCTGGGGCGAACATCGTCAGTGGCATGTGGATTTTCAGGGTGAAGCGGCCGCCGGGTTCTCCGCCTATCTTCAAGGCGCGTTACGTGGCTCGAGGCTTCAGTCAGCGGCAGGGAGTTGACTACTTTCAGACCTTCTCTCCCACCCCGAAGATGACCACTCTTCGGGTGCTGCTGCACGTAGCCGCTCAGCGCGACTACGAG